TGGAACCTTCCAAACTTGCCATTCATGAAAATATCATGTTCGCTGAGACTGATTGCCCTCACTGCCGGTGTACCAGCCCGTATTATGTCATGAGTTTTGATGACAAGGGGACTAAGTTGAAATAGAGTGTAGCCTGTATGTCCTCATGGTATTACTGTGTTTCTTGCAAACTAGAAGCTCCATAATTTTATATGCTAAGATATCAAGGCCAAGGAAATAACGGCATTCGTTCAAGCACGTGTTACGAATTAACGGCCACGGTGTTTTACGTTAATTGTTACGTAAGTAGCTTTAATATTAATTAAATATATCAATTAATTTGTCATATTGTAAAAGGTTAATTTTATTATATTGGCCAACGGCCAATGTAACTGTATTTCAGGCCGAAACGCGTCTAATTTTACAGTTGTTTTCAAATCTAATAAAACCCAACTTGCGCAAAATTTGATGATGCATAATCTTTGTTTACGTTCGAACCTCACTGGATGACGTGATATAAAATCTGTTGGCCGTGCTAGGCCGGCTAACACTTTTATAAATGAAGAAAAGAAAGTCTTTCGCCTTACTTTTGTCGTTCACTTGTACTCCATTCAGTGGAACACGGAACACTTTCTAAAGCCTACTAGGGTTTTACTCATTTATTTCAGGCACAGTTTGACAATTCTTCTTAGTTGCTTTAATGAAACTGGCTTAAATTCTGTTTCCTACGTTGAAAAAATTGAATGTTATACTTACATTGATAGTAACATCTTGAATCTTCGGTGACTTACAAATAAGATAAGAAATGTCGACGTTAGTTCAATGATTTGAGCTGATAGTGTGCATGTATGTCAACACCTACGGCTCAATTTTAAAGACATTCCATATTAAACCACCGGATGCCATTCTAAAATCGTCAGTTTAATTTGTTGTCATCTACAATATCAACACGAAATGTGAAATTTGACCGACACTAGAACCATTTAAGAAACGATGCAGACTTGTGGTAACAGCATTTGGAAAAACATGTAATTTTTATTAAGAAGTTTTTTTTTAAAAATTAACGTTCTCTATTTTATAAATTACAGGACAGCAAAGCTTCTGTGAAATATCCGGCAGTGTATCAGCTTCGTTGGTGTCTCCAGGTCATGGATTAGCATGCAAAAGAAGAGAAGAGGCTAACGGAATGGTGACGCCACACACGAGGAAAGTTGAAATGTTTTTTTTTTTTGTACGGAGTGAGGTTGGCAGATCGCTTATACTGCGAAGAGGCTTTCCCTTATCTTTGATACTGAAACCCTCTTACATCCTTCATCAACCCAAACACAGCTTATACTTTACTAACTTCTTTTTCCTCCCCATTCCACTACATCATTATCATCGTCTTCCTTGATGGAACACAGAATCCATCTCTACGTGAAACTCCGAGGCTGATAAAAGTAGGGACTTCAGATGTTCTTTTCTTTGTCACAATTTCAATACTCACTCTATTGCTGTAGCTCTATGTCATGTATCGTATGCGCTACCAGTATTTTGCTGTGGTTCATTTTTCATCAATTTCTAATCCCTTTCCTCCATTCTGTGTCCTCCTA